CAAATTTAACAAAATAAGTATTTATTTTGTTTATTTCTTATAATTTAATAAAAAAAACTTCCTAGATTTCTTCATTCAAGGTTAAATAATACTATTCTTGTAATATAAGAGCGTTTTTTTTTTGTTGTTCGTTTTTATTTATATAAATAAGAAACAAGTAATTATCATTAAGAAAACTAACATATATTATTTCATATAAATTCAATAGATTTAATAATAAAACTTCAGAGGAAACTGTAATAATAGTAGAAATTGTACGTGCAAGAAAAATAAAAATCTCAAGCGCATGCAAATAAATAACAATTTAACACGCAGCATAAAGAAACTAACTCGACAAGCTCAAATGCAACGATTTCTCAAGCTTTTAACTGAAATTGTATATGGGTGAATCACGTAAATAAAATTTGTCAAATTTAAATAACGAAACATCTGTTATATTTCTATTTATGTGTTTTTTTTTTGTCAATACCACCAATTAACAGCAACGGCTGCAGAAGCAAATAAATGATTGATAAAGATTTACAATGGGATGTTATCAGCTTGCGAGAAACGGCGTCTGTTTATTCAGAAAGACATTCATCTTCCCAAAGGAATATTCAATTAAGCTTGAACTCGGAACCTCAGAGGCTGGAACATTAATCAGACGCAACATCATTTTTTCTCTACGTCTCTCTGCCTCCTGCGCTTTGTTTGTGTTTTTTTAATCTATAAAAATATTTAAATTCTCTGAGAAACCGTTTGCGTCAATCAAATGGAAATTTTGTACTTGAAAAGTGAACGTTTGAAAAAATAAATGAATTTAGTATAATTATGTATATTTGTAAAATAAAGCAAAATAAGTTAAAGAGATATTGGTTACATTTTATGAATACAATTAGCATTCGCTTAACGTACATCTGCGTAACGTATTTAATTGCATAATATGTATATGACAGATCATTCTTACAAATGTCCATTCGAACGTACATTGATATCAGTCGGTGATTATGCATAGACATTTCATATTCTGTATTTGTCGAAACAAAGTTTGTCGAAAGTATGTTGAAATCCCGACAACCGAAATTTTGGATTATTTCTTATTGTTAAGATAGTCTATATCAAATAATAAAAGAATCTGTCGGGATTTTGATAATACTGATATTATGGTTGTCTGGATTTTGTTACTGTCAGTATTACGGTTGTAAGGATTTTGATACTGTCGGAAAGTATCTACTAGATTTGACGGCAATTGTACGATCGTATGAAGAGACACAGAAGAGAGCACACAAAATGTAAATACATGCTTTTATAATAATTCTTCGTCTGATTAACTTACATTTGCTTAGCGTACGGCAATTTATGTACGTTGATCGAACGTCTGTATTAATGTCGTTTTTAAATTATTAAAATGTCACTAAACATTCTTTACTCAATTTGTTATGTTTTTAGATGAATTTTATAATTTGTATTATATAAATACATCTTTTATTGTATGAATGATCTCAATTAATTTGTTCATGCCGGAATGAAAGCGATGAGTAATGCTTATATAACTGCAGTCCATCATTTCTTACGTGCGAAAATTGATGCGGTAATTACGAATTAAAGTCAATTTCGCCCCCCGAATGCGTTGCATCCAATACAACGTGTACGTATATCCAACACATGGTGTTCGTTTCAATGGGATTGGGAGAGCCCGGATTATCCACTAATCGAATGAAAGCCAATTTAGATGTTGCTAGTAATTATTATTGCTGGTAGGGAACTCCGAAGAGAAGGTCAAAGTGTACTCGAATAAGTATTGCAAGGAAAGCCTGCTCTCTCTCGCAGCCGACAAGAAAGTTGGGAGATGAGCTTAGCCCGAGCCGTGCTCATCTTCATACGAAATATTTAATTAAACTCGATCCCTGCAGACTGCAGCATTAATTAACGACCTAATTGCACTTTGTCCTTTTCTTTTATTAATTTCATTTTTCGAGTGGTGCAATCGTTCATTTACGTAACATTAATATTTCATAATAAAAATATCTTCATTTAAATACCAAAAAAAAAATCTTTTTATATTTTTTTACTGATAATTCAAACTATCACTTTTTTATATAGAAAAACATACATTATTTAAACAATTGATTCTGGAAATATATAAATAAACATTAATTCTTGCCTCTTCGGTATTTCCAAAAATAAATTGATTTCAAAATTATACGGAATAATATATACTTAGTTAATATTTTCTACTATTGTAGAAACATTATTAATTTCATTAAAAAAATTAAATTCTCTTTTATATAAATAAATGTTATCATCATTAATGAGATTTTAAACAGCGTTAATTAGTTTCTAACAATATATACAAATATATGTTGAATTTTGGTAAGTACAATCGGTACCACTCGTTGCTTAACTTTTAAAATAATGAAACACTACTCTAAATAGCTTTGTTCTTAAAAACAATATGTTTACTCATAGGATTCATTGAATTATATGAAATCTTGAAACCATTGAATTTTAGTTTAATAATTTTAATTTATAAAATCTTAGAGATGTATAAATTGCATTCTGCGTTGAACAGTTCAAAAATTAATGAATTCGATTCCGTTCGATTACCGCAAACGAAATTTAACTTCTTTTTTTCTCTATTCTTGTACACACACACATTTACGTACACATATAAAAAATGTGTGAGTGTGTGTTATGCAATCTCGAGTTCCTCCGTCGTGCATTTCTCTTTTGCGCGAAACCGCTCTCGGATTCCAATTGTTGAGCTTCAGAATTCTCCTCTGCTCGAATTGAATCGTAATCGATTTACATTGAAAGCGACCGTAAAAGTTATGAATTAAGCCACGCGAACGCAATTAATATTGAATCGATATATTTTTTTGTTGATGATTTCTTGATGTTTTTGTTTTTTTCGTTGACTAATATTTTGCGGTAAATTATGGGATTTATACCACTGAATTATCGCTAAAACCATTTACGTACATTGAATTTATTTATATACGAGAAGACGTTGACAAAACGAAAGTATGTTACTCATGAATCAGGCGTGCGTGAAAAAGACACAGCGAGTGATTAATAAGGAAAGTTCTACATTTTTAATATATAATTCATAATTTTTACGTAATTTCAAGAATTTTCTCTCCACAGACTTTGTTTCGTCATCCACTGTTTACTTTTCCGACGTAGATTCGACTGTTATGATACTGAGGTTAGAGGCTAAAAAACAGACGACGACTTTGTAACCCCGAAATCTCAGCGGTTCAGCACTAGGGGCCTCAGGGGGATATTGTAAAGATGAACAATAATCTATATGTGATCAAAAAACGTGTATTTGGTGGTCTATATCGCTACCTTCGATGAATTAATCAATCTACGAACAGCCGCGTTCATGTGCCAATCAAACACTGAATTGACGTTGTCAGTAGATATTATTTTTTTAAACAAATCCCTGAGAAAATTTTCAGTATTTTCTTGGCTTTGAGTACAGAAAAAGAAAATGTAATCCAAACTACAATTTCTACAACCGCAATATTAAACTTTGATATCAATATTGCTGTTTTTAAGTTTTTTTTTAAATTGTCCTCAAGATGGTGCTAAAGTAGTATTTTACATTATTTATATTATAAGGTTATTAAAAGAACCAATACCTTATATTCAAGTGTTGTGTAACTTTTAGTTGGTACACCTGAAATACTTACAAAAGAAGAAAAAACAAGGAACTTTTCTTATATCATATATAATGTTCTTATTTGTTTAATCGTATATAGATTTAAGTATATGATAAATTATTAAAAAAATCGGATTTTTTTTATAATTGAAGAAATATTCAAGGTTGTCTTTTCATTTTAAAGCAAACTTTACGCTTTGCTTGCGTTCCAGTTTCAACGGAGATATTATCAGCATTGAGCTTTCTGAGCATGCTGAGCTTTCGAGTGCATTATCTAACGTAATACATCACTCCATATCGTTTCGAATAATAAAACCATAATAATAAAAATGTTATTTTTTATTAATTCATTATTACTACACACGAAGAAAATTTCTTAAACTCTTTATTCTTGTTTTCTCATAGTTATTATAAGTTATATAGTTCATTGACTGCTTATATGGATAAAAATAGTTTTCACTATCAAACTTATTGTGTTCGATTAGAATGACCGCATTTTACCTCAACAAAAACTATGTTTACCGGTTCTTTGAACTTTTTCTTCGGCGTTTGTTCTCCCATGATATATTAAAATTCCATCAACGTACTTTTCAAAAGTTCATTTTATTGATATTTTTGTTATATTGTTCTTAGAAAACATGTAAGTTATAAAATTTTGTTTAAAAGTATCATTCATAAATTCCAATACGCATTATTTTTTTTAAATTTCTGAAAGTGTTGATAAGTTTCCATTTTCATGTAAATTCAATAAATAACATACACTTTAATAATTCATTGCTTCAAATAGTTTACTTTTATGATACAAAATATAAGATCATACGATTTTACAAAAGCAATTCGGTTAATAACCTACACAAAAGGAATTGTTCAACTTTGATATTTTCTTAGCATTGCAGTAATAATATCTGCTTACCTTATTCGCCCAAGCAGCAATAATTTCGAAATTTCCTTTCTATCCTGCAGATCGGTGTGATAAACAGGATGCGATTGTTCGATTTTCCTTTGATGAAAAGTCAATATGTACGATTCGTGAAGCGGAAATTATAATTTAAAAATAAATTAGTTTACATTTAAAAATAATAACTATAGTTTACATAAAAAAATCTTTTGTCACTTGACAAAAGTGTACTTCAACATAATGAAGTTGAGTTAAAGTTTGAAATTAAGTAAAAATAAACATGCCCCAACAGTCATTCAATTACTTTGTGTATCAAAGTAATCATTATAGCAATCGTTTTTCAGTGGAAGAACATAAAGATAAATAAACAATTACGAATGTTGGTGAAAAATTGATATAATTAATGTTTTTATTAGGTCATTTTTAATACATATTTCAACTATTATAATTATGCTTTTAGGACTTGTCATTTTTGAAATTAAACTTCAAAATTGTTTAGATAATGAATTTGTAATGAACATAGTTTTTATTAGTGTGTCTAAAATAGTGTGTTTTTTTTATTGTAGAGACAATAATTATAATTAAATCTGTAGGAAAATTATTAATTTAATGTTATTTCTTGGAAAGTAACATAGTTCCAATAAGCAAAAGTGTTGTACCACATATTCCTATGAGGGAATTACTTATATTGTTCTGTCTATACCTAGTATATACATTGCCCTGTTCATCGCTAGTTGTAGATACATCGTCCTCTTTATCACTAGTTGTAGATACATCGTCCTCTTTATCACTAGTTGTAGATATATCGTCCTCTTTATCACTAGTTGTAGATACATCGTACTCTGTATTGCTAGTTGTAAATATATCGCCCTCTTCATCGCTAGTTGTAGATATATCGTCCTCTTCTTCGCTAGTTATAGTACTTGTAGATACATTGCTTATATTTGTACATAATGGTATATGATCAGATAATCTCATTGAATCATCTACATCAAAATCGAATACATAGTGAGTAGATTGTTTTTTAATCAACATATAATCAAGTACAGTATTCCTCATCTTATCACTATGTCTAGTAAATTTTCCTCGTGAGTCACTTAGTGTTCCATTTAGAAACGTTAAAGAGTGTTCATCCTTAAACCTGAGAATTCTCGAATATCTAGATTTCAATTTATCTTGAGATGTTTTGCCATCAACAGATCCAATACGGATATTAAAATCTCCCATTATCAAGACATCGTCGTTGCCACTCTCTTCCATGATACTTTTCAATGGGTGATAGATGTCTCTAATAAATCTATTCTGCCTACTATACACAGTGATGAACTGCCAATGTTGTTCATCAATTCCGAATTTCAGTACACTTATATCGCTCGATTTTGGTACGAAGTCTATATAATCAAAGTTGTCGATTGATTTTCGGTCACAGATTAATATTCCACCACTATTACGACGAGTTCCTGGAATTGCTGGTTCATAGTGGATATTGTAATTTTCTTTGATAAATTCAGGCACAACATCATCTATCTGATCTTCTGTCATCCACGTCTCAGCCAATGCGAAAATATCAAATTTTAATAAATATTGGAATTTTTTGATAGAGCTACCATCTTTTTGAGTCAAGCCGTGCACATTCCAAAAACAAATACTAAATGTATACATTTTCTTTAACTTGATTAATTGCACTAATTGCACAAATCAGTAGATGCATTTTTATATGCACATTTTATATCTAATCATTTTGATAAGTCTTATCATTTTATAATTTGAATTGTTTCAGTTTTTTTGTAATATGATACAATTCAATATATATATTGTCTTAGATAAAATTGATTTTTGTATATTTAAAATGTCAATAAATTTGATAATATAATATGACTAAATGTTTCTATTGAAATCGTATCATAATAACATAAGTTAATTTTGTTATAGAGAGATTAAAAACAATTATGAATACAATGGTTTTGTCACTATTATCAAAGTTTATTAAAAATATAGTCATATACGAACTCACTAAACAAGTTATTGATTATTGTTCGTGTTTACAATAATCGGAAATTAAAATTAACAATTAATTGATTTTATACACAAATTTGAGGAGATATGGAGGAAAAACGCTTAAAAAAACTAATAAAAAATTTGCATGTTAGCTCGATCATCTGCTTTTCAAATGTAATGGCAAATGCGTGGGAAATGCTTTTTTGTGGGAAACCAATTTGTGTTCGTTTGAAACGTTTAGGAAACACAAATTATTACAATCCTCTTCTGCATGGAATACGATAATTCGGGTAATAATAGGTCGCTGTCATAGTTAGCTACGCATGTTCTAAATTGCATTCGGTCGCTTCCCACGTGATTTTACACTGTTAGAATCTCAATTCATGTCCACTGCAGTCGTGTAAATATGATTTAAAAAGAGAGAGAAATGTAAATGTTCATAGGAACGTGCTAAACGGTTGTTTTGACCAATACTTCTTTCATGCTTGTAATCTTAAAATAATTATTAATTTTTTAAATTTCCAAAAAAAAAACGGTTTTTGAACTTTAGAAAATTATGTAAAAAAGTGTCTTTGAAGATTCAATAAGTTAATACTGTTTCAACTAGTTGTTAACATTTTACATCTTTGGTTTAAACAAAAAAAAGTTTTCATTATTAGAATATTTCCAGTAAAAAATACATTGTAATTAGTAATCCAATTTTCAGGTTCATCCTGAAAATCTAACATAAATCAATAATACTATGTAGCAATAGTTCTATTGATTTATTTTAGGTTTTCAGGAATTTTTTGGGATTTTTCTCTTTCTGAACCGCGGTTTAATGTATAGAAAGAAAAAAAACTTTCAGTAAGTTATATTCTATTGAGTACATCTACATAATACAAAGTACTATTTAGATCCCAGCATTGTGTCCATTGTTAAAGCACCTATTGGAGCTTTGACCAGGTGCGAGTACGTTCTTTCAAGAACATAATCATTGTAATTTCCATGTTTCTTCTACGCGAAAACACCTCACAATGGTCTCGGGAATAACAATAACGCGCTTCGAAACACCCCCATTCTCACAACTGAACATTTGTCACCCCTTCTACTGAAAAATAAAAGCAATGTTAATTGCCATAAATTAGCAAAGTACTTAGCTGAACTTAAGCCGTCTCGCCTGTTGAGGGTGAACGTCCTTGGAGCTATTCCAATTTCGTAAATATATTTTTTTTACCACAGCTTAATTTAAAAATTGCGTCTGGTACGTTTGTGGATTCGGCGTAGGTGGAGTCGAGAGCCTCAAGAGAGCAAAAAAACAAAAGTATACAAGATCCTCTTTAAATTTAGATACGTTGATTCATTTTGCTTTATTAATAAATGATTGTGAATCATTTTTTCTTTTTCTTTATAAACTTCACTTTTCCGGTGAGAATTAAAAAAAAAACGCGTACCATTCGCGCGAAAGGTCATTACAATTCCAACTAATAAAAAGGTTTTAATTGCCTTAAACAGGAACTACGCTATGTATTTTTTTTCTACTTGATACATATTATTATTATTAGTAACTACACGTCTCGCTCTGCAACCTTTATTAGTTGCAGTTTTGTTTTTGCGAAATTGTCGCTGTTGCAAAAAAATAAAAATATAACTTCTATTACATGACCTAGTTGAGATGTAAAACAATTGCATCAACTTCACTTTCTAACTTATCTTTAGGTTTTGAATCTAAAGGGTGGGAGAGGCCACAGCAGTCCTTTAAATTATATAGCATGTGCAGACGACGAATACAGCCTTGGAACGACTTTATCCTTTATATAGAGGAAACCGACGGCGGGGAAAACGCCGATTCGTGCGAATTTATTGCTGTATTGTTTTAATTGTAGTTTGCTCAAATGAGTCATATTCGTTGCGTTATATGCTATATGCATTTCCGGATTAAGTAAATTTCACGTGAAATATATTAGTATACAAAGACATTTCTAAAACAGATGTTTAAAAATAACTAGTTTTATAACATTCGACCGACTGAACTTATTTTTGCAATTACCTTTTTTTAATTATTCAAATAATAAAATATTTTCATAATAATCGATCTTTTGTATTACATTTTTATTTTAACCTACTGCACTAATTTAATTTACAAGGGCGGAAAGACCTCGGTCGTTAGCCCCTTGGCCAGCCTATTAATATATATTTTTTTTATTGTATGTTAAAATTTATTTATGTTTAAGAAATTCATTCCATAAAGTATACAGTGAGAGATAGGATTAACGAACATTTCGGACTGCGAACAAATAGGACAACGAACATGTGTATCAGTAATATTACGTATTTGATAACTATTTGTTTCTATATCCAAATAGATCTGGTTTTTCTCTTGCTACTTTTTTTTACATGATTTATTATCTATAAATTCATATATGAAATACACACAGAAGCTATGTAAATTGTTTACAAAGTCCATGAAAATCCAAAATAAAATATATTCTAAGGTCAAGGATCTTATGGATTTTGGCACGAGTGCATGTTCGAAACGCCACTTCATATTTTTCTTTCTTCTTTGCATTTGATTTATGCTAATATATCACTATTATTTTATAAATATTTATGCGGTGGACTCAATTTGAATACACCCGAAGTAAATAACAATTACGAATAATTTTGTTTTCGTTTTTTTTTGTATTAATTCATTTTGTGTAACTAACACGAAAAAAAACTAATATGTTTTTAAATATAATAAGTTGTTACAAAAAATACAATATAATTTCAAAAAGCGACCTTTTTATCTTTCATCTAGTTTGGTTGTTAATAATATTTCAATTTCAAACTGTTGAATAAACAAAAATCAGTTTATTTGATTGCATCAATGTTGGAAGCTTCGAATACTTGATTACACGCAATACTCAAATAAAGACACTTCAAGGCATGCAGACAAGTACAATGCAAACATATAATTAAGGAATACGACGACGGTTTTGCCAAGGGTATATTCATTTACATTAAAATCCTAATTACTTATTATTATGTAATTTGCAAACTGATTCTTTTTTTGCATTTTTGTTTATGAAATGTAATGGTAAAAATTTTAAACTTTTTAAATAAATCTGACTCAGTATTTTTATAATAATCGATGATAAATGCATTATTAAAAATGTCGAAATATTGTTTTAGTTACTTAATAAATTGATTAGATAAAGCTTTTTTTATTTTTTTTGTACAATTGTTCATACTTATTTATGAAAGTTTATGGTTGCTGATAAAAAAGTTTTTATTAATGTTTTTTAATTATCGCTGACTACGAAATTTCAGAATAATAGATGATATATGTCATTATTTATATATATAAAAAGTTTCTTAATAAATTGATTAGTTTAACCCATTTTTGCCCACTGTACACAAGCAGGTACACTAGTATTTATTGAATTTTTGGTAATTTAGTGATAAGTACCTAAAACTTATTGTTGTATTTTTGTTTTTAAATATGTACCAACTATCATCTGACCAAGAAATATCCCAAGTGGAGATTACAATGTATATTGTAAACATATATTATGCGTAGAAAAAAATATCGAATTACACCAAATGTTTGTGTTTTTGAAAAAATATAACAGATTTATATATTCGTAACAACTACAAGCGTCTTGGATAATGCTTAATTTAAAATAAATAGTCTTTAATATTGCAATTTAGAATTTCTGGAGAGAAATGATATATTATTAATAAATGTGAGAGGAAATTTGCTACAAAATTAAGAAATAGACACGTATAAAACACATTTGATCAGTCTATTTTGGTATTTTGTGCAAGATAAAATATAATATAGAATACATAAATTAATTATAAAATAATGTATTTTAATAATAATATTAATTGAAACACCTAAAAATAAACTGGTTACAATAATATAATAACAAAAATTTAAAAAAATCAAATGACTATAGGTCTTTCTGCCCCAATGTATTTTATTTTTGTTAAATTTTTACATTATTTTTTTAAATTTCTCTAGTCCCGGGAATTTCTGGGATGCCTTAAACAGGTGTCTCTTGTCCCGAGCATAAAAAAATGTTATTTTGCTACCCATTAAAAATGTAATTTTAATTTTGCATTCGCGGTCCTTATGTTGAGGAACGCTGGTACATGATATTCCAGCAGATTTACGATCGTTGCTCAGAGCGGAATGCTGAAAATATTCTAGAAAATAATTGGGGATGAGCCGTGCTCAATGCAAGAGAACACACCACACTTATTACTCGTATTAACTCTGACATATTGCGTATAAACATTTCGTTTGACGTAAGTTTATAGCATTATTTTTTTTATTTCTTCCGTCGCATCGTTGAAACCAATTTTATTATGTTATTCTTCTTTCCAAGGATATAAGCCATTGTACAGTCATTCCATTTTATTTTATTTTAAGAGACGTTTCCTGCCTTTGTGATCAGGCATCCATATCCTAAAACCACCGGTCGCGACGGTGAGGTGTGTGGCGAGGAGAAGAGGGTGAAAGCCCGGCCATTATTTTAATTTCGTCGAAATCCCTTTCCATGTGCCATCAACGAAATCAATTTCAACAGAAAATGAATTCGTCTCGTCCTCGACTCAATGGAAAAAATAAATCGTGAAATCATAATTTCGAAAGGCAAAATGGAGTGTTAACGTTCTTATT